TGTGTGTGTGGGTGTATGTGTGTGGTGTGTGTAGTGTTGTGTGGTGTGTGTGTGGTGTGTGGTATATACTACCGCACACACACAGACACGCACGTGTGCAGAGGGCGGTGGGCCAGGGCTCTGCATTGCTGGAAGAAGAGTTGACGGAGCTTTTCCCAGCAGAAGCTGACAGTGGCTGGGGTCGCCGCCTCCTGCCGTTCTGCATCTGCATTGTGCACATGTTCTTGAGGGCCTCCCCTGGAGAAAGCCTTGGTGTGGCCAATCTGAGCAGCCAGAACACCCCCAGGAAACTGTACGCAGGGGCCGCCCCCACCTGTCGTGGGAACTCCTCCAGGAAAACCGAACCCTTTTTTGGGGTTCTCCCAGCTTCTCCCTGGAAGCCCCCAGAGGGGGTTGCAGGAGCTTCCCCAGGCCTTGGCGATCACAGGACCAGGCCAGACCAGTGCTGCTGCCCACCTGCCTCCTGCCTGGCTTCCTGCCACCTCCACCCACCTCTGTCTTCCTCCCAGGGGTGCTGTCTAAGTGGCAGGTCTGACTACACTGCTTGCTTGCTCAGCTCTCAAGGGAGGGTGGCTGCCCTCAGGATGAAGTCGGTTCTACTCTGTGAAGCAGGGTTGAGGGGTGATGAGAGGTGTGAGGCTGGCACTCCTGGGTCTAAGTGGCGAGCCATTTTACCCCTCCGAGGAGGAATGCTGTTCTCATCTATTACATGGAGAACACATCATGTGACTCTCCTAGGTAGCTTTGAGAATTAACTAAGAGGTAATGTGCTCAGAACAGAGCTTGGCACAAAGGTAAGGGCATGTGAGTGTTTTGGCACCACAGTAATCCATGTGAGTGATTATTGTCATCTCCAGACCTCTGATAATTGGATGCAACTCTAGCCACATGGTGTGCCCGCAATAAACACTCGTTGAATAGTAAGTGCAGGAGGACAGTGCATGTCAGGGACTCGTAAAACAAGCAGTCATGTCTCCCTAAGATGTCAGGTCTAATTGCATTAGAATGCCTTGAGTTTGTAGGGGGCGCACCAATAAGGCAATGTCCAGCTCAGACAGAGAGCAGGTCTCCTCCCAAGTAGGCTCTTGCAATCACCAAGGTGAGAAGAGCGTGGCGTGGCTGAGGAGCAGAACACAGGCATGAGTTGGTGGAGGACGTACCCCTGGTGCTTGTGTTTCCAAGTTACCACCACAATCCCCTGCAAATCGTGGGGAAGAGGAAGGTAATCATTCAGGTGGGATACCTGGATGAGAACTGTGTATGGATTCTCTTCATTCCTACTGTAACAATCAAACTGCAAGCTCAGAGGGATCAGTGTGTGTGTGTGTGTGTGTGTGTGTTGTGTGTGTGATTATGCAAACGAGCTCAGTTTGTACACAGGACCATGGGCCATGGGAGGAATTAATCGTCATCACAGCTGCCAATTAAATTGTTGAGTGTGTGTAATGTACCAAGCCCTTGCCAAGTGCTTCTGCACATGGTATAATTTCATCATCTCAGGAACTCGAAGAGATGGGTGCCACTGTTATTTTCATTTGAAAGATGAAAGAAACCGAGGCCCAGAGAAGTGGGGTGACTTCATCCAAGGTCACACAGCCACTCAGTGGAAGAATTGAGACTAGAACCCAATACTTCTTACTGTAGGTGAAGGCTTCTTCCTGTCCCTGAAGGAATTCAAGATCGTTTCAGAGTGTCTCCCACATGCTGAAAGCCTCACGTAGGGAAAGATACAATTTCTGAGTCTTCTCTATGCCAGGCACCAAGCCCTAGGTGCAAATCTTATCTCTTATTCTTCCTAGCTGTGAGATTTTACACAAGTTCCTTCCGCTCTCTGAGCCTCAGTTTCCTCATCTGTAAAATGGGGATAATGATGCTCAGACCTCATGGGATCATTGTACACAGTGATATCATTTAGAACTTTGGGCTGGAACCAGGAGACGTGAGTTCTAGTCTCCACTCTTCTGTGGTCATGGTAGCTTGAGGGCAAAGATGATCCCAAAGCTTGGCCCCTCTCTGTATCCACACCATACCTCTGGGCTGGGCCTTGCTTTGTGGCTTGCCATAGGATATGGCAGATGTGCTGCTGTGCCACTTCCTAGTCTGGGCTCAAGAGGCCTTG